GGTTTTTTTGGTTTTTCGTGGTGTTGGGGGTTTTTTTGGTTTTATAAACTTTTTTTAATAAGTGGGGGGGGGGGGAGACTCACCCCACACTGATGTGTGAATGGAAGCAATTCATCCAGAGCATCTCTAATACAGATGGCACCCAATTCATTGCTCAGCAGGAGGGGCGGGCGGAACTGGAGACAAGACCCGCGTCTCGTGGGAATCCAGGGCGACCCGGGGCGCCCGTTGGGTTTGTCTGAACCTGGATCTCCGAGTCGGCTCAAAACAGGATGCTTGGAGCGCTGGGTCGGAATTGAGGTGGTTTCCCTTCCCTCCGAGAGGAGGCATCGCTGCAGGGGGAGGGGGCCGCTCGATCCGAATTGAGCCTTCCCCCATGTAAATCCGAATTGAAGGGTTTAAAGAGAGGGCAACGGAGTGGGTGGAGAGGGACCAATTCCATTGCTTTGGTTCTGCTCCCCTGGACTCACAATGGTTGCTCCCGCCAAGACCTGATCGGTCAGCCGATGTTGGGGGGAGAAGGGGGTGCTGGAGACACCCAAGCTAAGAAGGTCAATTCCAGCATCATAAGCTGGACTCAGAAGCTTGTGGGTAACCACTGCAAGGCCCACAGGATTGCTCTTCTGTGTTCCCAAAGTTGGGGATCGCAAATTGTAAAGTTGGGTGCACCGGATGTCCATTCGGAATAGTTTTCAAGGGCAGACCCAGGTAAAGCAAGTTGCTGTCATCCAGTTGGGCGGTGATGAGGGCTACCTCTTGCACCAAGTAGACAAAGGTCCTCCTAGTCACGGCCTCCATCTGTTGCTCTTGCAGGAGCTGGGAATCCAGGAGGACCCCCAGTTCATGAACCTTCTTGTTCAAGGGTGGTGTCTCCCCATCCACACCAACGTGGACAGAGACTAGGGCATAATCAAATCCATCCTTTTGGGCTTCAACTTTAATCTGTTCTCTCTCGTCCAGAACTTAAGCCTCCAAGTGCCGGGAGAGGACATCAACATCTCCCTTAGGGCCTAAGGTGACCATGTAAAGTTGGGTGTCATCAGCCTAGTGATGACACCACACCCTGAACTGTCCAATGACCTCACCCAGTGGCTTCATATAGATGTTAAAAAATAAGGGAGAGAGGACGACCCCTGAGATGGTCAGAGGACACTGGGGTGACTCCTCTCCCATTGATCTGGCACCCTATGGAAGGAGCAGAGCTGCACAATGTTGCCTTCAATCCAGCAAGATATCATGGCTGATGAGGTGAAGGCCACCAAGAAGTCCAAAAAGACTGGGGTGGGGGCGTGCATTACCCCATCCAATTCCCAATTCAAGTAATTGAAGAGAGCAACCTGGGCTGTTCCCGTTCCACACCCAGGCTTGAAACCAGACTGAAAAGGGTCTAGATAAGCTGCTTCATCTAGGGTGCTCAAAGGTGGTCTGCTACACTCTCAACCATCTTCCCTAGATGATAGAAAAGGGCCTTTTCAGATCCCAGCTCTACATAAATGCTTTTTAAAATGTAATCTAACCCGAGATAGGTCGGTAGGTAGGTAGACCTGGCTAAAAGTGGGGGGAGGCTTGACTCCCTGCTGGTGGTTGGGGATGATGGGAGGGGTAGTCCAAGGGCACAAGCCCCCGGGGGACTGTTGCATTAAGTTCTGGATCACACAAACGTTGCCCTTGATTTTCTGATAGGTTCACACAAGAGGCTCGGCTGAATTTCCAGTTGGGGAAATCAGCTCATGGTGTGAAGCCATGGCTTGGTTTATTTCATTATTTCATTGTTTAATATTGGTTTAACACAGTTGCAGATTATATGAATGCAGCCATTGGGTTTGGTTAACCTGGGTTTACCTGGCTGCATGACTCAGCCGGTTCAAGAGGCAAACGGATGCTAGACAACCCAATTTGAGTTGCGGTACCCCCGCCGGCCACTAGGGGCGCTGTGAACCCAACGGGTTCTCCGCCCTCTGGTGGCCGTCTGGAGTATTGCAGCCCCGGATTGATTTCCCCCTTAGGGCGGGTTAATGAAGAACAATTGCTGCGTTCACACGATGTGCAGCAGCCAACTCGACTTCACGTGCTGGACTGATTCCCGCAACGCAGGAGAAACGATCCGGCGTCACGTGTGAAGGCTACCAGATCTGCGCTGCAAAAATGCGGCGGGAAAGACCCATCTCCTTTTGCAACCCTAGCGAATGCAACTCCGGAATTATAATTACGCTAATTAGTGGGCGCATTGGAAATACAGCTAAAAAAAAAACAACAGCTACATTTGCATGAAAACAAACAGCCAGGACGCCACTGCTTTCCCTAAGCCGGAGACACGCATTTCCCTCCCCGAACTACATCTCCCATCCTGCCCTAGCAACTTCCTGCCTCCCCTTCTCCCGCCTCTTCCGGCCGGGAAAGAGGCGGCTGATTGGCCGACCCTTCGAAGCGGGCCAGAGGCGGTGGCAGGCGGGAGATGCGGCCGCCAAACTGAGGGGATTTCGCGTCGCCTCAGGCTGCTGCCGCCC